TGCGATCGCAAAGTGGAAATGCGGCCCGCAGAATGGACCGCAAAAGTGCTCCCAAAATCTGAACATTCTGTCTGGGTATGCGGCAGAAATGCGGTCCGCATACCCGTTCTGCTGTCGCATAATGTACCGCAGAACTGCTCCTTACAAAATCCCAAGGAAATTATGCGACGACTATGCGGTCCGCATATCGGTTATGCGATCGCATAATGGACCGCATATTTAACCTCAAATTTGACTAACACACTGACTCACTTTGCGGTGACTATGCCCCCTATGCGGTCCGCATACCTGATATGCAACCGCATTCTCGACCGCAAAATCGCACTTCTCTGGAAAACATTATTTGTTGACTTTTTAATGCACTGTTCAATCCAAAGGGGTCCGAACATGAATCCTAACACATGCTCCAAACTTGGCACCACGGGATTCGGGGTTCTGAGTAGGAAATTCACGGGGCCTTACAGTAATCGACTGAGATGTACAAGTTGATGGTACTCGTTAGAGATACTTAGAAGAATCTACCGAAAATCCAAGTTAAACAAGGAGGTGGAAAAATATTTAACATGTGGACACAAAATTTCACATAAATGTTCCTGCTTAGAGAACAATATTATTTATCATGGTCATATTTAATGCTTGTAACCATGTTTCAGCTACTCTTATTTTGTGATGCAGCATTACAGGCCAGCAACTCGATACAATGTCCATTTACAGTGAGAGTACTGTGTGAGGAGGATGAACTTTTGAGCTCAATTCCGCCAAGAGGTAACCTTGCCTCCTCTCCTCCAATTTGCTTCAGCACCAATTCAGATCAATGATCTAAAAAAAAATCTCCTTTCCCAATACTTTTCAATATAAACAGTTTGAATATTTGGCTTGACAATAGGATAAAGGAGGATTTATTTTTGTTAATTGAAATTGTCGTGGAAGTTTGAAAGTGGAAGAGAAAAATAAAATCCTTAGCAGGCAGAAAGTAGGTGAAATTGTGGCAACAGAGTGAGATGCAATTTGAAATTTTTTATTGCAGATTTCAGTCTTCTTTCATGAAATTTATAAGACACTGGGAAAAATGAATACAAGTATCATGGTGATTGAATGTTTATAAAATCTCATATTTATGTGTCATATGCTTGTATCTAACATATACTACATATGGGCAGTGGCGGAGCCACATTGAAGCAAGGGGTGTCAAGCGACACCCCTTTGCTGGAAAATTATACTATTTTGCTAGATAATTTTTATTTATTTTATGTACATTTACTATACTCCTCTTGACTTTTCGATGTATCTAATTATTTATATTTTGACACCTCTCACTACATATGGGTACGTGTTTGTGTGTGACCGTATATATAGAATAACATCTTTGATGTATTGAGGAGGACCAAAAAGGGTGAAATTGTAGCACCAGAAATCTCACTACATCATTATGCAATTCTTTTTAGTCCATTAGGGAGCAGAAACCTGACCTTGTATTTAGGTGTGATATGCTTGTACTATCAGATGGAGAAGCACTACCAGTGAGTTATGTGATAGAATTTACCTACCAAAGTGAAACGTACGTTCTATGGAACAGTTATAAGACCGGCATATATGGTATTGAATTTTGGGCCGCTAAAGATCAAAATATTCACAAGATGAATGATGTAGAGATGCGGATGCTAAGATGGATGTGCGATCGTATAAGATTAGAGAAGATTAAAAATGATAACATTTACTAGAAGGTGCAAGTAGCAAATATTGATGATAAAACGTGAGATGATTTGATAATGTCCTGCGTCAACCAGGTCCATAGGTGTGAAATTGTGGTGAGGAAGGTGTTAAAAGGGGACAAGGTAGGCCTAAAATATGGAAGGAAGTTGACTTGAGAGATAGGGCACAATGGAAAAAATCCTTATACGTGATATCTATTAGTTGGGAATAGGTTTTAGTCTTGTTAGTACGTTGATTTACATGCCAGTAACAATATAGAGAACTTTTTATATTATTATTATTATTACTATTATTTAGATATATTTAACTTTATTTTCACTACTACATTTATATGGAAATCCTTGTGGGTGATTCAAGGAAAGTACATAAATGTTGACTGAACATGCTTTGTTCTCATCTGCCAAAGTTTTCTTATGCCTTTTTCTATCCCTGCTTATCCAGTTATTACTGGAAAATTTTGTTGTAAGATGCTTTCTAGTTCATTTATGGTACTCACTAAATGTATTTTTTAGATCTGGAGCCCCCTCGTAGAAGACCCCCGACGTCAGCTAGAACTGCCCAGAGATTGATTGCTCAAAGTATGGGTATAAAGTTGCCTTCTACAGACTTTGGATCCAGAGAATATAGGAGACAGGAGGAAGCCAGGAAGAACCGGATCGTTTCAAGACAAAATATGAGGAATGATGCTTGGGGTGATGATGCCAACTAAGGATTCATTTGTTCAAGCTCTCTAAAAATTTCATGTTTTTCTTCAGTATGCATTAACCAGTGTTACAGATCTGAAATCCCCAAGCATTAACCGGCCTTACATTTTGAGTTTTGCATATCTTCACCAGTTTTGAACAGATGAATAATATCTGAGGAATTCTTGATATTGTCCCGTCGATTAAAAAAGTAGGTACTCTTACTCATCCTTGTATAGCTACAGAAATGAGCCAAACCTTATTCAGTTCTCAGTTTCTGATGTATATCTCTGATGTCAAAATTGTATCATTTGTTTTGGCTGGCAATCTCATTGGAAGCTTTGACTTATCCATTGTTGGTGTTATTTAGTAGAGTCAACATGAAATTGATGTGCTGATTGGGGCAAAACATTGGCATGGGATGTTCTTAAGTTCAAGAAGTGTCATATTTTGACCTGGGTTGTTTTAGGCAGAGCTAAATGGAGAATGAATGGCGCTGGGTCGGTGCCTGCTGGGGTCTTTTCTACGAGAGTTAGCTCATTCTGCACAACTCATTATCATTTGTTGCATATTTTATGGCCTGTATTAAGTCAAATCCTAGATGGCACTCAATAGTGTGGCGCAGTGGTGAAAGTGTCAATACAAAATTATGAGAGAACAAAGTTCAAATTTTAGCAGAGAGAGAAAAATACTAAGTGATTTACTTCCATCTGCACGGAGAGTGTCTAATACTTGTGTTGGTAGGAAGTAGTAGGTCTTCTCTGAAACAAGTTGGTTTAAACATCACAATTATCATCGGGATTTTTACACAAATAGCTGGTTGGATTCACTATTTACTTTTCTAACCGATATACATAAATTATACACTAATTATATATGATTATATACATATTATATATGGCAACCGTTTTTAATTTAAATGGTTGGGTGGACTAATTCTTTAATTATCATCTATCAAAGCCAACTCGGAGGTGGTACATGTTACCTTGCTATACTATGAGTCTATCCCAAAGCCATGATCCTAATTCCTATGTGGCTTGAAGCCCAGAAGATATCCTTGATAAACTCAACATGCAAGTTAGTGAACTGTCTTTTCTTTTTCATCTACTGATTTAGCTTATTCAATGATATTACTAACTTGATTATAAAAAATAAAAAAAATTATCTATTAGAGAGATAATTTCTCCTTACAAATGATCTAATAAGAGGAACTAAATATTTACAAACGTGTTACGCACAACTTATGGCTATTGAGTAATATTGCTAACTTGATTATAAAATGAAATGACATACAGAGGATATATACCATTGAAAAAGTCGTACACGTTTTCGACTTCCATTTTTCAGTGATTATGGCAAGTCTTTAGGACTTATTTTTATTGCAATAAGTGGTGGCAACTTTTGTTTGTTAGGTCTTCACACATTTGCTTCTTTTTCCTACATCGGTTAAAGAACTTAGAAATAGAATAATTAACCGCGGTTAAATTGCATTGAAAATTTAACATTTTTTTACGTTATCAGTATATATAATTTAAGTTATAATATTTATAAATGTACAGTGAAAAAATTTCCCCTAGAAGTTTTCCACATTCATAAAACAGATAATCTAAACATAGTCAAAGCATCAGCTAGTTGTCATTTTCCCCCCACTGTCATAAGAATTGAAAATAATGGAGCAAATAGGCTCTCTTATAAAAGTAGTAATATGAATTAAATAGTTAGACGACGTGATGTATTAGGTGTTTTTCCTTTGGTCATGCACTTCTTTATTAGCCATGTCAAAATTTGTTCCAATTCTATTTTCAGATATGTAATTAATTACATAAATAGTGTTCTTTTCCCTTTCTAGGAAGTTAATATCGCTGAAAATTACTCTATCCATTCGCTTTTACTTGTCCCGTATAAACAAATTTTCACTTTTACTTGTCACTTATAGCATATCAAGAGAGGACAATTTTCCCCCTGTTATACCCACAATATTAATTACTTATTTCAAATCATTTTCTCAAATCCATTAAAAATATGCATCAATAAATATGAGTATCATGGTAAATTATACACTTCATTATTATTTCTTAAGCGTGTGTAAAGTCCATATATAATGGACAAGTAAAAGTGAACGGGGGAGTAGTATTGTTTCATTTGTATCAATATTTCAATTAAAAACTGAAAATGTTCTAATAAGTTTACTCCAACTTATGGTGTTGCATTGTACTTCTTATTTTAATATTAATATTTGAAACGTCACAAGGTTTTTAATATACTCACAATTATGAATAATATTTCATATGCTTTCGAGCGTTTCAAGAGCACTTTAACAATTCAATTCAAAACATGATGCATTTATTACCAAAAAATAAATGATTTTTTTTAGAAAGCACTATACTACTATAGTTTAGAGTTTAGTAACTGTAGTTTGCATATTTATTATTCGTAGTTACTATTCAATTGTTATCAGTTTATATTACTTGTATTCAAACGCATAACGAATACAACATCTGTCAATTGCATTCGTATCCGCAATGAATACAATATGTATCAGCTGTATTCGTTAACTCAATTATATTCGTTCGGTAACGAATAAAACATGTATCAGTTGTATTGATTCGCGCAACGAATACAACCAACGCGAAATATAAATGTGTATACAAAGGGTACAACCTGTATTGACTGTATGCAAGGTATATACAAATGATATAACCTGTATCGACTGTATTCGTATTGACTGTATTCGTTGCGCCCAAGGCGAAATATAGAAATACCAAAAAATAAAAAGCTCTTGTTGAGAGGTGAACTGAAGATCTCCGCTTACTAAGTGGGTACTCTAACCAATTAAGCTATGAGAGTTTATTGTTCTCCAGTTTAAGTTCACAATAAATGATCTCTTGCTTCATGGATTTGCTGTAAAATTCAAATCTAGAATGAATGATAAATTTGTTGAAAGTATAACTACGAATGATAAATACAGTGTATATGTTTAATGTGTCGCGTAACTTTCCCAAAAATAAACAATATAAACAAATTTGGAGATTCTGCATTTATCTAATCGTGGAGATATTGGCTTCAAGACTTGGTTCTTGATATCGTTTTTGATTGGTTTTTCAGCTAATCAGAATACAAACACTTTAAGAAAAAGCTAAATTAAAGAATTTCCATTTACTATCAAAGGGAAAGGAAAATATTTTCATAATTTTTAAGTTCTCTTTAAAGTATTGTTAGTAAAAAAAAACTAGCGGGGGAATAAGTTGAGATGCCAGAGAAGTTTAACCCTTAATTAATCAAAATATGAAAATGTATAAAAGAGGTTTCACGTCCACCAGAAATTCTTGAATTCATCCAAAGGAGGAAATAGTGAATAAATTGATAACTTTCGCAGGAGAAAATTTTGAATAAATTTAACAGGAAAAAAAAACGAGAGAGTTAAAATTAATCCTTTCAATTTGTACAAAATATATAAAATTCTATTGCAACGAAGTTATGTGAAATAGTAAAAATGCTCCATACATTGAATCAATTTTTTGCACATTGGACAATTTGATAAGATGACGAATATTAAGGACGAGTAATAATGTTTCACATATTTCAATCGACCAAACTTTAGATCGGTCAATTGGTTGGTTGTTTGAGTCTCAAATTTGAGTTGCGTCTCCATATATAAGAGTTGTGTAAGTGTAGAATTTAAGAGAATTATGAAATAGGACAAAATAACTTATTGGGTTTGGAAATATTTTACTTATAGATATTAAATAAAATTTTTAACACAAATATAAAGTCTGAGTCGAAGCTATATATTAGGTTCTAGCTAAACTTATAGTTTCTTTCCTGTAATATTGTTGATAGAAGATTCGAACTAATAGGATACGCAAAAGAAGACTAGAAAATTGACTATATGTTAGTTACAGGTAAAATATAGTTTTATCTTTGAAAAGAAGTGTTATTTGTGGCTTGAATTATTTCCTTGTATTTTTAGGAAACACATAGTCCCTATAGGTTTAGGAAAACCCATTGTTCTAATAGATTTGGGAAAGGAAAACCTATAGTCCTTGTCAAATTGGGAAATCTTTCTCATATATGTTTGGGACCTTTTGGGATCTATATATAGAGGTTGTAGTTGGGGATTCTATAGATTGTATTGTGTTTTTCTTCTCATTCATAGTAGAAAACTCTCTCTTCTTTTGCCCCGAGAATTAGGCTTAGCCGAACCTCGTTAAATCCTTGTGTTAATTTTTCTTCTCTATTTGCTTTGTGTGAGATTGTGTGCTAGTTAACCCACGATATTCCGCAACAATTTGTATCAGAGCAAGGTTCGGGTTTCTACACATAATTTAGGGTTAAGATGTCTTCATCATCTTCAACAAAGTACGAAGTAGAGAAATTTGACGGAGGTTCTAGTTTCAGTCTATGGAAGATTAGGATGAAATCGTCCCTGGTGTTACAAGGATTATGGAAAGCAATTGATGAGGATTTTCCTGAAGATATGAAAGAGACAAAGAAGGAAGACTTGAAGGAGAGGACTTTGAGTGCGATCTTCATGAGCGTTACAGATAGCGTTCTTAGGGAAATTGCTAAAGAAACTTCTGCAGCAATGGCATGTAAGAAGCTGAAAGATCTGTATTCTAAGAAATTGCTGACAAACCGCCTCTACCTGAAAAAGAGGTTATACAATCTCTGTATGAACGAAGGTACACCTGTTAAAACTCACCTTGATGAGTTTAATTCAATTATAATGGACCTGAAGAATGTGGATATCAAAATTGAGAGTGAGGATCAGGCCTTGATTATGTTATGTTCTTTACCACAGTCTTATGATACTTTTGTCGATACACTGCTATATGGGAAAAATAGCATTTCACTAGAAGATGTTAGTAATGCACTAAAATCTAAAGAGTTGAAAAAGAGCTTTCCAGACAACAGAATTGAGGGTGAAGGTCTTGTGATTAAAGGAAGAACATAACAAAAGGTCTTTAACAGGAAAAAGTCAACCGCAAGATCAAAGTCTAGAGCAAGGAAGCAAAACTGTTATGAGTGCGGGGAGCAAGGTCACTACAAGAGAGATTGTCCTAAGCTGAAGAAGAAAAGAGGGAAGCAAAAAATAGATAATTCGGCAAATATTGTTGACACTGGCAATAATTCTAATGATAGTGATTATGTAGGGGAAGTTTGTGCTGTGAGTTCTAGTCATGGGCAAAATTCTTGGGTTCTTGATTCTGGTGCTACTTTCCACATGTGTCCACACAAGAATTGATTTACAACTTACAAACAAATGAGTGGGACTGTCTATATGGGAGATGATAATCCATTACCAGTAGAGAGGGTTGGTAACATCAAATTGAGAATGTTCGACGGAATTA